GCTACCACGTCTACAAGCAAGTCCGTCGTCATTCTTTCTCTACTCTCCATCAGTTCCTCTCCGCCCCTCCTCTCCGGGTTGTGCACCCCCGGTGTGCCGCCACTCGTTTTCTGGACGGCTTTCGGCGATGTGCCTGTGTGCCGCTTCACTCCATATCATTTTGGCACCCGTACAGAGAGTCAAGAGCCATTTCGCTATGTCCCAACAATCAGCACACATTAATACAAATAAGGAGACCAAAAGTAACAGAATGGTGACGGAAATCACTCTGAAACTAACCAAGTGTTCTCGAGGTCCATGTTCAACTCTAATGTTGCTGACCTTAGGCGGTGATTTTACCTGCCTATGATCGCCGAACCCATCGAAAACTACTTCGCATTCTGTCTGCAATTGACAAATACACAGTCATTATTCCTGCAAACGTATAAGGGACGGGGATGGGAGAGCAGATGATGTGGCCTACTCCACCAATTGAGCCATCCTTGGCCCGCAACAATTGGTGGAAAAGGCTGCTGGTGCCGCACTCTACTCCTCGCCCCTCCACACGTCATTTCATTCTTAGGCATGATGGCATTACGTTTAACATAGAAGGACACGAGAACAACTATTACTAAAAAATTATTACAGTTCAATACTTACAGGTCTATTGACTTTTTTAGCGGCGTCGTTTAAAGACTTTACCCATGCTTCCAATGGTCCGGGTACTTTAAGATAGTTATTGTATAGCCAGGCTAACACTTCGTTCGTCCATTCGCTATTCGAGCTGGAATACTTATAGATTTAATTTAATTCGAGTTAAAGAAATGATAGCAAAGTGAAATTTGATGAGTAATGAGCTATACAGTGCTCTGTGGTTTAGTGAGTTATTTGATGTTTACCCACTCGAAGCAACGGGGTACTCGAGTCTATGAATAGCTCAACTAACTTGACAACACTGACAAATGATGAAGGTATAAAGTACAGTTAAGTGCCCTACATACACGTATCAGTTTCTTCGGAATGCACCAGTGAACGATTCTAATCGATAAGGGTCAGAATGTTCGAAATAGCGCAGACTCGCGAACTTAGTACTCTCTAAAGTAGTCTGCGGCCATGAAATTGTGCACTACGTTCCAAGCAGGCTTGCTTCCTATTTGGGGTTGTCGCTGTTTGCACAGGGCATATCTAGGTGCACTGAGGGTAAGTCTTGGCGACAGCTGCGTACTCCCAACCCAACCCTCCCCTTTTATACAAGCGTCACTGCCCCTCTTCCGTCTGGATCCTCGCAGCCATGGCAGCTACGCCCCGCTCTGCCCTCAAATGAGCAGTGTGCACGGCACACTTACGGCACGTATGCCCATAGTCATCCCTTTAGATGGACTCCCAATTATCCCGTAACGGAACTTTCAAAGTTGTTCCAGGTATTAGCTGAGCCCGATGATCAACCCCACCTAGCGGATCACGGGTATGTGGCAAGAGAATCGTAATTCGCCGCGCCAGTGGGCGTCGCGCCCGCTAATGACGACGATTTTAGGTGGTATTGGTCGAGAATAGACAATGTATGACCAAAAATAGACATAAGTGT